CACGCCTACCTAAAGCGGCTCGTTCTAACACGCCCCCACATGTCTACGTCACTATGTGGGAAGATTTGCATAACGCCGCCCAAATGTTCACGCAAAGAAAGAAGGTGTAACTTTTATTCTCGCTGTAGTATTGTTGTTGACGCCGCCGTCATGTCGTGAAGACGCTGTGTTTCGTTGTGAAAGCGAAACTACTTTGTTTGGCCTTCCAAAAGAGGATGATATCCGCTTCGTCATGCCGATCCATGCTGGTCACTGAGGAAATACATCAACTTTACGCTGTGGATCACCGGATCGGCTTTCACCGTGGACAAAGCAAAGTCCAGCCCGGGGTCGTCACATGTGGTTGCCGCAAGCCAGCTGGACACTCCTTTGTCAAATCCGCCGGCTGCGCCGTTCTCAAGCCCGCCTGCCTCTGCTCACTCAAGCTGGCCTCCGCATACTCTAGGCCACGGCTCACTCTAGGCCTCCAGCCTCCACTCACTCAAGGCCGCGGTGTGTGACGCTTTTTCGTTGTGAATGCAAAACTACTTCGTTTGGCCTTCCAAAAGAGGACACGACTAGAAATCAGTGGTTAAGTTGTATTTACAACACTGTTCCAGAACACTTCAACCCAGATATTCAGATGTGTGCAGCACATTTTATGGAGGACTGTTTCCAGTCTGAAGTAAGTTTTTTATATTTAAAGAATTTGCCTGCCACTGACGACTCAAACGCAAGTTTTTTGGGCAGTGTAGAGTAGCATTTGTTGTTTGTCATTTCTCCGATCACAAATGCAGACATGGTTTTATGTTACGTTCCGGCCGGACAGGGCATCCCAATATGGTAAGGGGAATAACATTTCCGTCACACGCTTGAGGTATTCGGCCAATCACAGCGCACTGGATAGCTGGCCAATCAGAGCACACCTTGCTTTTCAGAACGATGAGCTTTGTAAAAATCGACGCGTTTCAGAAAGGCGGGGCATAGAGGAAAAACAATAATGTACAGTATGTGGAAAATAATGTGTTTTTTAACCTTAAACCGCATAAACACATTTCATTACACCAAATACACAAAATAATGTTATTTTTAGCAACATCATATGACCCCTTTAAAAACTGAGAAGAGTTATAAGGTTAGTTGGTGCCTATGTTTAGATTATTAATTACAATGAGTATTTTTAACATATTGTCCTCACTGGTGAAAAAAATAGCCTGTTAATTTACAACCCCATCTTCAGAAAAGTTGGGACATTTTGTAAATTTATTAACTACTAAATTTGTAACACATGGTTTCATAGACACATGTACTTGACTGGCCTGCAGTCCAAATCGGTCTCCTATTGAAAATGTATGGCATGTCATGAATAAGAGAATAAGACAATGATGACTACTGACTGTTGAGCAGGTGAAATTTTGAATCAAGCAATAATTTGGTAAAAATTCCCCTGCACCAATTAGTATCCTTACTTCAGATTAAAACTATGAAAAAGTGTACATATAGCTGCAAGCAGCAATTAAGGGGCCAAACACAACTGAGGCAAAATGAGGAGTAAGCATGGCAGGGATAATCAGATCAAACATAACAATGAGTAATTAAAGCCATTATAGCATGATTCGGTCAAAATGGCTGAAAAATCATAAATACAACTATTGGTATTACTGCACTTTGTAACCGATTTAATGGTTTATCACTTTTGACCAATAGGTGACGCTGTTGTGAAATCGATGTGGTGTCTTCTGTGTGAGGTGACGATGACACACAAAGTTTGGTGTCATTGTCAAAGATTTGCAGAGATACAGCCGCAGTTTGACATCATGCCATTGAATTTGTTGATGTGGTAAAAGAAAACTGTTTTGTCTTCTGTCTTTTTGCTGGCAAGGTCTGAAAATGTTTTGAATCAAATTTGGGGAAATTTTGACCAACGGTTCAGGAGGAGTTAAAAAAAGTAGGTTTTCAAGGAAAATCAAAATGGTGAACAGGAAGTTTGGTAGATTATGGCATCATTTATATTGAAGTTCTCAACATGATCCAGTAAATCTATCAAGACAAGTATCATGACATAAGGCAAAACTAATAAAAAAATATTAGCATGTTTTTAAAAATTGCATTATACTTATTGATCACAAGGGGTCACTGACCCAAAAACTTTTTGAGTACCTTCAGCACATGGGGCTGATGACACATACCAAGTTTTGCAACAATATGCCTATGCATTCATTAAATATACAGTAGCATTAAATGGGAACATTAATTATTTAATTAATTTATGTATATATTTTTGTCTGCATGGTCTGAAGATGCTGGTTCAGTTTGCATGAAAACAGCCTAGGAGAAGTTTGAAAAAAGACTAGAAGAAGTTTGAAATAAGTTTTTTTTTTTCTTTTTCTAACCTTTATGTTTCAAAAGTGATTAGAATAAATATGAGTGCAACTTTTGAAAGTTGGTGGCACAGACTGTCCTCTATCTGTGTACCAAATTTCACAACATTTCACAACTCACAAATTGGTCGTGAGCGACTAACAGCAGATGGAGATCATGCATCTGTACTATACTGCTATGCCTGCAGTTCCGGGATGTGGGAATTTTCTGCCGAATTTGAACCACTGAATTTGTGGAAGTGAATTTGTAAAGCGAAATCAAATGGACTGAAAAATGCCTGTTGAATATTATAGGTCATGTTTTTAAACGGTTTGAATATTTTGGAAATTAAGTCTGAAAGATGTATATTAAATATTGAATTTGTAATAATCACAATATTTGTGGATTTCAGCCTTAAAAATGCAAGCCCTGAAAATACAATGCATTAAATGCAAACACTGTTAATGCAATACGTTTTTTTTTTTCAATTATTGCAATTCAGCTCATTTTTTCAAAAAAATTTTAAGTCCTTAATTGATTTCCATACATGCTTGATTTTTACTCAATCAAGAGACCCTCACCTATTACCCATTCACATATTTATTGTGGATTGTTTCAAAACAGTTTAACTCGGATATTCTATAATCCCTTCACTTTTACTGTGTCTCTGTCCCAAATTGGGTGTAAATAAAGTGATTTAGCAGGTACCTTGTCTCTGAAGCAGATGTGTTTTCTTTTATCCACCTCACACACTCGAGCAGATTTCAGCAGACGCTGATGATCAAAACCACATGGAATGCCAAGATAATGGCAGTCTCTGCATGTAAAATAATAAAGAAATTAAACTACGCAACAACTCATAGAGCAATAATACATTTACAATGGCCCACATTTGGAAAGTGTATCTGATGGCAAGTGTTAGTACTAGAGTAAAATAGTTACACAACAACAAGAACAGAGCTCAGTGAGGCCAAGCAGTCCAGTGACTCATGATTTAGTAAAATTAAAAACACTGGCACTCAAAAATGGCTCAAATTCTATGTACAATTAACTTGTTTGGAATCTCTAGGAAAACAGTATGGCCAAAATCATGTTTACTGTCAAACTGCAAGCCTAAAGACTGGGAATATACAACAGTGATCGAGTAATCCGCCGTGACAGCGACGATCGATCATGAAAACGATTATCATGTTGGTTTTAAAAAAATATAAATATTTTTTTTCTGATTGGTTATAGCAGCATTTTGGGCGACACCCGGCTGAGCTCTGATTGTTTAGCTTGCCACAGCATGTGGTCCAAAATATAGACGTGAGAACACAGCAAAAAGCCCAGTGTTAAATTAACTCTCCTGGGAGTTTATTTGAGTCCACACTCAAGAGTGTTAAAAGTAACTCTGAAGAGTGGCAAATTAACACTGAAGCAGTGTTAAAGTTCATAAGATTATTCGGTGAATAATTGAGTGATGATTGACCATTATTGAAGACAGCTGATGTTAACAAGCATAATCACCAAAGGAGAAAATCACAATTTCTAAGTCACCGTTATAGTGGTTAGTGTTTGTATTAGTTGGGTTCTTGACCCTTGCCTTTTTAATATTAGATTTTGCTTGACTGCTGTAACTAATCTCGTCTTTTTTTTTGCGCCAACCCAAAAAAATCTTTGGGTCTTACCTGGCCACCCCTAAAAAAATTATCTGGCTGTGTCCCTGTGGCTATGATTGAAATGAGAAGTTGCCAGAAATGCCCATCCCTACTAAAGACTGCACACTATATAATAATAATATTATAACCATTTAAACAGCCTGTTAAAGGAGTATTTACCGAGCCAAATAGTCCCATTTGTCCACATCAATGCCGTTCACTTTATTTGCCACAATCTCATAGAGGAAGGATTTGTCGTCAGTCCTGCCCTTCATTGACCACTACAAGATGGAAAATACTTTGATCAACTTAATCACTGCATCCTGATAAACACTGACTGAACCAGCACTTTAAACACATTTTTACCTGTCCATCCTTTTGTCCTTTCAAAATTAATTCCTCAATAAATCTGATGTCTTCGTCTAGATTCAATCCATAGTCCTTCATCTCTTTGTCCAGTCCATTCTTCTTTCTCATGCAGTGAAACATGTCAACAGATGCCTTCTCATGCTTGAGAAGATGATCATAAACATACAACAATATAATAATCTGTACACACAAACTACGTTTGTTACTACACACTACTACACAGGGTTGTGTAGATGGTCAGAGCATTGAACATTTAAATCATAAATCATGATTATATTTAGGAAGTAAAGACACATCAGTATGTGCCAGTAGAACATTTACAGTTTAGTAAACAGAACATTTCAACAGATTCTACTAATTGACAGTAATCTTTTTGTATCTGTATCTTATGATGCTTACCTCCCATATGTAATCTGAGAAGTGAAAAGAGATTTTAGAGGTTATGCAAGGCATGTTTATCCTTTGTTCACACACACATTATACAACTATTACATTGATTTAGCAATAGCAAACTCATTTGTTTGGCAGAAGGTTCTCTATTAAAAAGTGATTCAAAGGATTGTTTAATTATTGACTGAATAAGTGTGATTTGTAAATAATGAATGTAGATATGTTTCACTGGCAGTAAGGTTGCAAAATATAAAATTTAATTATGCAATTTTCAATTACTGTATGTATTATAGGTAACAACACGGAAATAGTCATTTGAGCATCATCTTACTGTGGGCTAGATCAAATAAAACAATTATAATTTGTATTTGCCTTTCTTGTGATTAAGCAATAAAGGCATTAATTTAAGGATTCAACAGCTTTGACAGTTAAAAATGCAGTATTAATAATTGCTTGTCTATATGCATTTCTGAAATGACTGAAGTGATATAACTCAATTACCATGCTGAACTTCATCACACAAATGAAAAAAAAATACTATTTTTGTGACGTGTTTATTATACAGAAATGTCGATAAGTTACTTTTCTAGGTTCTGATGCATTCATCAATTATGAACCTTTTTAGTTCCTGTTTCCCCTGTTAAACTCATGCCATGACAACACATAATGCTCTACTACTTGGACTCAGAATTATACATTTATATGGCAACACTATCAATGCCAAAGCGTTCACATGGAACAGCTCAGTAAATGTTGGTGATTACGACATGGCTGAACACTAGTGATGGGCACTTTTGAAGCACTGCTTCGTGAAGCTTCGCAACCTTTGTGAATCATTTGTTTCGAAACAGTGGTTCAGAGCATGTTTCAAAATGCCAAAGTCACCTGATTTCAGTAAACAAGGCTTCATTACGTCGTAACTGTTTCGAAACATTTATAAATGTCAATGGTTTGGCGTCGGGGGGGTACGCCCCTGAATACTCAATCTGAATTGACACGGCCACGGAGACCATTCCTGAACTCTCTGCACGAACAATAAAATCACTGAAAACACCAAAGTGAAAAAATGAGGCTCTTACCAGGCTGGACTTCAGGGATGAACATGCCATCAAACAAATGAGAGAACGGACCATGACCTGAATGAACAAAAATGATAACATGCATTTATTATAACTTTCATAACTTACACAAAAAAAGTCATTAATTTATAAGCATACATGTATTGATCACACTCTTCTAGATGCAGTTGGTTTCCTAGGTGATCTTAAATCTGGATACTGACTAGAAAGAGCATCATAACATGTTCAGTTATTTTCTGATTGTCTTTTGAGATTACACAAACCATGTCAGTGTAAATGACAATTATTCATCATATACTTTTTTCTCCTCTTTTTTCTGTGTTTCCTGTACACAATTATTTTATAGTTTTAATAGTGTCCTTTACAATTCAGCCAGAGTTTTCCATAAAGAAAAGAAAGTTGACACCACACGTTAATTGTTGCGCAGAAAGCTTTAAAGGTCCTACAAATATTCTCCATTATCTATATGCAAAATTCTTACTCTTAATGTTAAAAAAAAACAAAGAAAGAAAGGGAAATGAAAGACACATCTGTGTGCTTTCATGAAAGATTTATTTAATGATTTTCTGAGTAAATATGCACATGCATGTTTGTGCTCCTCACCCATGTCATGACACAGAGCAGCGATCCGAACACACAGGGAATCTTGTTCGGTAATGTTGAGCTCCGGCTGTTTCTCTTGCAGACTCTTGATCAGACATCCTGCTAAATGTGCCACACTTACATACAAAAACACACAAAGAAAAATCAATGTATTTCAAGGGAAATTATGCAAAGGTCCAGCCTCGAAAAAGAGGAAAAAGTTACCCAAGAGAGTGTTCGAAGCGAGTATGAGTGGCTCCAGGATACACCAGGTATTTAGTTCCCAGCTGTTTAATGTGTCTCAGTCTCTGAAACTGAGGAGTGTCAATGATCTTCACCAGCAGGGGGTGCAGCTCCATGTGTCCATGGATGGGGTCGTTGAAGACCTACAGAATGCAAAAAGACAAAAATAAGTTAATAAATCTCGATTTAGTGGATTGTTTGGTCTGAACTTAGCAGATTTTTTGTATATTTGTTATACATATGTTTTATATACAAATTGTAGTTTCCGTACCCACTGTATATTAAAATAGAAAAACGTTATTTTACATCATAATGATATTTCACAATATTGCATTTTTTTCCTGTATGTTTGATCAAATAAATACAGCTTTGATGAGCAGAAGAAACTCCTGTAAAAAACATTAAAAATCGTTCTGATCCCAAACTTTTGAACGGTGGTGTATATGTTCATGTTAACTGTACCAGTTTTTAATTTGTTAATTTTCATAGATTTTAAAATACAACATATGATCATACACTCAAGTCATCCTCTCTACTTAAAAAAAAATGAAGGCAGCAGTCTGCATGCATTGTTTAGAGCAAATTCAACATGAGGTACTATTAAGGGGTATGAGCTTTTTTAAAGTCATTTTATTTAAATTAAGTTTTTGTAACTTTTATCTTTTCAGATGTCTTATAAATCTTGTTAAACCAAAATAAATATGAATGCCCGTATTAATGAATATAAAGAAGACTCAGTATTACATTCAATAATGTGAAATTAGTTCTTTGAAATATTATGCTCAGTGTGTCACGGATCCAGCCATTCCACCAGCGTCAGACCCAACAGCCCCACCTTCCCGTTCCAGCTCACCTGAGTATTGATTCCTTGCACCTGCCTCTGCCCAATTAAGAGATGCTTATAAACCCGCACTCACAGACACCTAACCGTCTGGTCTCGTCTATTGCTAATGTGTAAGACTTACCCGACTCCTGGTTTCCTGTTATCCGATTGTTTTCTTCAGCCGCTGGTCATCTGTCCTCGATTCCTGTCCTCCCTGAAGCACACACGGACTAGAGAATTTGAGATAAGTCTCTCTAATACTGGGCATTCATGTCGTATCAACTTACCTGTGTTTTCCCTGAGTGTTTCCCTTCAATAAAGTCCTGTGAACACTCATCTTGTTTCCTGTGCTTCAGTGGTGTGTGACAGAAGACCAGACCTTTTACTAGGAGATGGATCCCGAATCTCCGACCACGTCGCAAGGCGATCCATTTGCCGAATTCATTCACCTGCTCCCTCCAGTCCTCGCTTCCTGACCTTATCTGCCGGCCGGCCCCATGGCCTTACCAGAGCCGTTCAGTGGCGCGACGGAGAACTGCAGCGGCTTTCTCCTTCAATGCACCTTATTCTTTGAGATGCAACCTCAGCGGTTCACCACAGATAGAGCCAAAATAGCGTTTATTATCTCACTGCTCACCGATCGTGCACTCCTGTGGGCTAAGACCATCTGGGAACAAGCTGGGCCTGCAACTCGGACCCTGGAGGATTTTGTGGCCCATTTTAAGGAGGTATTCGATCAGTCTACAAATTCCCTTTCTGTGCATGACCAGTTATATCACCTTAAGCAAGGAAGATCCTCCGTCTCGAAGTATTCTGTGAAACTCCGCACCTTAGCCGCTGCGAGTGGATGGAATGAGGGAGCTCTCATCACAGCTTTATAGGCAAGGGCTGTCCCCGTCGCTCCGACTGCATCTCGCCATCTATGATGACAGCTTTGGTTTAGAGAACCTAATCCAGCGATCCATTCGTGTGGCCCAGAGGTTAACAGCCTGTGATCTGGAATTACCTACCCTTCCCACTCCGTCTGCCTCTGCAGCAGTAGCAGTATCTTTGCCGATGTCATGTCCTCCAGCATCAGCCATCAAACCGATGCAAGTTGACTCCATTCATCTCTCTCCAGCCGAACGTCAAAGACGCATGCAACAACACCTGTGTCTTTACTGTGAAGCTGAAGGCCATCTCATATCTGAATGCCCCGTTCGTCCACCTCGTCCTGCTGTGAGTTGTTTGACCCCGAGACCTGAAGTTACTTCATTAGTGTACTTTCCTGTATCAGTGATGTCTACCACAAATTTCATTTCAGCCAAGGCCCTCATTGACTCGGGCTCCACGGGAAACTTCATTTCCAGAGACTTCGTCAGCCAGTTCCACATCCTGCAAATCCCTTGCCAGAAAATTAATGTGCACTCCATCCTAAGGAAATCTCTCAGAAGAGGTGAAAGTGTAATTTAAGTTATTTTCGGTGTGATCAGGAGAAGATGCCTCAAAACGCGTATCCGCGTTAATCGACCTCAGAGGGTTAACCACTGTACACCATCCCTTACCCTTCGCATAGGTGTGACCCATTATGAAAGAATCTCCTTGCTGGTGCTGGACGGATCAACTGCAGATATCATCCTGGGACGCCCTTGGCTAAAGCATCATAACCCTCACCTTTCCTGGACTGCTGGTGACATCCTCTCATGGAGTGACGCTTGCTTTGAGACTTGTCTACAACTCCATGCTCGACCCTCTTCCATTATTAAATCAACTAAGGTGCTCCTCCAGGCCACAACTATCGAGAGTCCTGAAGTACAGCACGATAGAGGTATCCCGGAAGAGTATAGGGCATTCCAGGATGTTTTCTCCCGTTTGCCCCCGCACCGATCTTGGGACTTGGGAGTATAGCCATTATCCATCCCTGAACAGAAGGCCATGGAGGAATATGTAGAAAAGGCCTTTCACCAGGGTAACATCTGCCCTTCTACATCCCCTGCCACTTCTAGCTTTTTCTTTGTAGCCAAAAAGGATGGAGGCTTAAGACCCATGTATTGATTTTTCGAGCCCTCAACAAGCAAACCGTCCTGTACAAATATTCCCTTCCCCTGGTACCAGCGGCGCTCGAGTTATTGAAAGGTGCTTCCATTTTCACAAAATTGGACCTGTGCAGCGCGTACAACCTCATCCGGATATGGAGGGGGGATGAATGGAAGACCGCCTTCATCACACCATCGGGGCATTATGAATATCGGGTCATGCCGTATGGGCTAGCCAACTCACCCTCCGTATTCCAGGCCTTCATGAATGAGGTGTTCCGGGGCTACCTGCATCGTTTTGTGATCATTTACATCGATGACATCTTGATCTACTCCCAGAACGAGGCAGACCATCGTCTCCACGTTGCGCAGGTCCTCCAAAGACTGAGGAAGAATCACTTGTACTTGGAAAAAATGTGAGTTTCACCGCTCCTCTGTTCTGTTCCTGGGCTACATCATTGATGCCAAAGGTATACAAATGGACCCGAAGAAGGTGGACGCAGTCTGGCAGTGGCCCATTCCCACTTCTATTAAGGAACTTCAACGATTCCTGGGTTTTGCTCATTTTTATCGTTGCTTCGTCGCTGACTTTAGCACCGTAGCAGCTCCCCTCACCTCCCTCCTACGGAAAATGCCCAAACATCTATCATGGTCTCCAGCAGCATCAGAGGCCTTTTCCCAGCTAAAACTGGCAATCACTACTGCACCCAACTTGATTCACCCGAACCCGGAATTGCCCTTCATCGTAGAAGTCGATGCCTCCACTACGGGTGTGGGAGTGGTGTTATCACAGCAGCAGGGGACCCCACCAAAGCTCCATCCATGCGCCTTCTCCAAGAAGTTGTCCCCGGCAGAGCAGAACTATGATATTGGCAATCGAGAACAATAACAAACCAACTCTAACTCAATGGACAGGAACTAAAATAGGGCAGATAGCAAGGGGCAGACAAGTGAACACAATGAAGGTGATTAACTAATAATGAGAACAGGAACCAAACCAAATATGGGCACAAGAGTGAGAAGACACAACAACCAGTCCATTACTGTGACAGTTCGCCCCCTCCCGGAAGGCGTAACCTCGCGCCGCAGGAAGAAAGGGTGGGTCAGAGGGGGACTTAGGAGGAGGACAAAGGAGTGGGTGTGGGATGGTGAAGGGCTGGCAGGAAAGCTGGCAGGCAGACGGTACAGGTGTAGGTTTGGGCAGAGGACGGACTCCAGGGAGGAGGATGGTGAACAGAGTCCAGAGTGGAAACGACAGAGGGAGAAGCCATGGAGGAAACAGGAGGAGCCAGGGCGGATCAGATGGAGGGAGGAGCCAGGGAGAAGACAGGAGGGACCTGGAGCAGGAGGAGCCAGACGAGACCCAGGCTGCAGCCATGATAGCGGCCCACGGTGGAGCCGACGGCGGGAGGAGCCATGGTGGAGGAAGGGCTAACGACTTCAGGGGGCCGACTGACGGCGGCGGAGTAGGTGGTGGAGGAGCCTGAGGCAGAGATGGATAGCAGATGAGCCAGGGCGACGGGGAGGATTCGGAGGGTCAAGGCGGAGCAGATGGCACTGGAGCCGGAGGCGGGGATCCGGAAGGCCGCGGTGGAGCCGGAGCGACAGAGGACCGAGGTGCAGCCAGAGGGAAGGAGGAACCTGACAGAGCCAGAGGGACAGAGGGATGAGGTGTAGCCAGAGTAGTGGAGTCCCGAAGCAGCGAATGGTTGACGACAGACCAAGGCGGAGCCGGAGGGACAAGGGAGTCCGGCGAAACCAGTGGACTGATGGGCCTTGGCGGAGGGGAGGGAGCTAGGAGCCATGGTGGAGCCTCTGGGACGAAAGGGCCGAAGCGGAGTCCGGGACTAAGAGGCTGAAGGCGGAGACAAGGGATCCACCAGCCACGATGCCGATGGAGACTGGCAGACCCGCGGTGAATCCAGCACACAGAAATTGGGCTGAAGGTGAACAGAGGGGCTGACAGGACCCAGCTGTGGCGGAGCTGAAACAGCAAGGATGACAGGAAGAGGCAGGAAAGGGAGGGTGGGTGGGAGTTGAGGATTCTCAGGGGGCTTAGGAACGGTGTGTGTTGCCCACACACCGCAAGGCTATTTCCAGCACCGCGAGCACCAGCAACAGGGGAATGACCTCTGTGGTCGTTATCGCACTGGCAGACAGTTCAGGGCAGACAGACAGTTCTGGGTAGGCAGATAATTCGGGGCAGACAAATAATTCAGGGCAGGCAGAGAGTTCAGATGAAGGCAGAATAAGAGAGGGCATGTCAGCATAAATATCCTAATTATAGTCCATTGAGCTCAGCTCACCCTCAGCCATGGTGCAGTGGGCGGAGCTTCACTCCACGCTCTCCATCGCGCTCTCCCCCGTGGCGAGCTCTGTAGCCGGCTCGCGCACCTGGTCTGACATCATGGGGTCTGACTCCAGGGCGATCCTCAGCACTGTTGTTCTCTCTGGCAATGGCTCTCTGTCAGCGGTGGGCTCAGGCTTTATTTCCATGCAGTGGGGTGATGGTGGGCTGGGCTCTGGGTCCAGAGTGGGGCTATTGTCGTCTTCCGCGATATCCACGGTGAGCGGCAATTTACAAGACACCCACAGGCAATTTACAGCACCCAGTCAATGAAGGCGGCGAGGCTCTCTCGAGGACTCTCCGCAGACAGCTGCTCTTGTGTGGTGTCGTTAAGTCAAACAAGATAGAATGAGCAGAGGCAGCTGTCCGGGTAGTGAGTGTAGTTCGCAAGAAACACAAAGTCCTCTGTGTGGTCCTCGAGAGAGCGATCCCCCTGCTCCAGCAGGAGGATGAGGGTGGCAGGCTCGTTCATAAATAAAAAAAAGAAAAACTTTCAAAACAGAAAATAAACAAGGGAGAACACGCCACTATTATTTTTGTAGGTTGGTTATTCTGTCATGGTCTCTGTGCTGTGCACACACAAAAGGCTCACGACAATGAAGGTGGAAGAGAATAATTTATTTAATATAATCCAAAGATGAAGAAGTCCAACACACACACAGGGAGACATAAGCAATAACCAACCAACTCTAACTCAATGGACAGGAACTAAAATAGGGCAGATAACGTCTCGGTTACGTATGGTAACCCTCGTTCCCTGAAGGAGGGAACGGAGACGTCACATTGGATGACCGACGAATTGGGATCTCGCTTAGAGATCATTGGGAGTGACCGACTGAAAGGAAACAAGGGGCAGACAGGTGAACACAATGAAGGTGAATAACTAATAATGAGAAGAGGAACCAAACCAAATATGGGCACACGAGGGAGAAAACACAACAACCAGTCCATTACTGTGACAACATGAGGTTAAGATGGAGATTTTTGCTAGGCAGAGAAACTCACAACTCATTTATCCTTAGGAAAGACACACACAATGCCCATAAAAATTTACTATTCTGAAAAACCTTTCTGTGAATGAACACCCATCTCTTCAGGACATTGTGTATATCATTACTGTTCTTGTATATTGTCTTTTGAATTGTATACTGTTTTGTGTGTGTGTTATGATAGATCACTAGTTAATATAACCCCACCGATACCATGTTTGGTCTCTGTGAATTTGTCTTCTGATGATCTAAACGAGAGTGTATATTATATGTTGGTACTCAATATATTAGTGTTCTAAGAATCTTTAGTAATTTTGCATGAACACCCAATCGAGTTCCATGTGAAAATTACCATGCTCTCACACAAAGGGTCATAAAACTCCCTAGTATTTCCAACCTCCCGCTTGGAATTTCAGCCTTTCTCATTGGACAAGCCCATCCTGAGAGGCATGAATCTTCTCAGACCTTAAAAGGCTCACGCACAGTTCTGTCCATGTTTTTGTTTTCTTCTGCTAAGTCTTCTGCTAAAACCTTCTGATTGCAGCCCGTGTGGAGAGCCTGAGCAAGTGCGGGCGTGCCCGGTGGGCTCCAACACATAGCCAGTCAGTCTGCGGTTCTGTTAGATACGGAGAAGACGAGGATGTGAGCTAGATGTCTTCTGTACCTTAAGTCTGCGCCAGGCCTCGGCCTTGACTTTCCATTCACCAAAGATCCTAGGATCTCAGCTGATGTCTCTCTTAGCTCTTTTTCACTTTCCACTGGGAAGAAACTCCCAATCACCATCGAATCAGAACATCTTTGGAGTTCATCACTCTTCAAACCCGGAAGAAGGTGATCGCGACTCCTACACCACCGAACCTCCAAACCATCAAAACTTTCATCCAAGACTGCATCCCTACGCTCATTCCAGGCCAAGGCAATGCAAGTATCATACATTTAACTAAACGAAACAGAGGTTTCGTATAAGCTGTAGACCCCGTTCTCAAACGGCGCTGATGGTTTCACTCAGGTGGGTAACTGACTCTTTTCATAGCTTCATTCTCTAGTTTTTCCTGATGGATTCATCCATCAAGCCTCATTTGCCCTTTCCCATGTATGAATGATTGTTTGTTTGTTAGACTAGTTTGTGTTAGTGTTTAGTTAATAAAACTTGTGTGCACAAATTACATGAGTTTCTGATTCTGCCTTGCAAATCAATGTCCCTGGCCTCAGTGCTGGGGGATGGTGTCTTGTAGTTGGTGATGTCCTTCAGGCCTTTCCACACTGATGCAGGCTTATGATGTGATCCTTACTACATGTGCTAATGCATTACTACTGTATTAAAGTACTTTCTGTGGCCATGGAAATATCCTTTCCTAGAGTTGATATGAACTTTCACTGAATGTTCGCTGGACGAAAGGTTGGTTGATGGCAATTTAATTCTGTTACAGTCACTACTGCCAGCTGATATAAATAATTGTAATTAAACATAATTAACTGTAATTTTTTATATACATTTCCCTTTTGAGCTAATTTGCTACATATTTGTTTATCCTTCGCTAGAGACACTGGGTCTCTCACATTTGTATCCTCAAATGTTTTGAAGAGATCTCAACAACATCACACATTGTGCTCAGATTTCTCTTAAGCTTAAGACTCTGGGGGTCTCATATTTGTCTCCTTTAAAGCTTTATAAAATATCTCAACAACTTTGCAAAGTGTGCACCAAGTCAAATACTTGAAATGCTCTAAATAAAGGGGAAAAAACACATCAATTCAGAGTTTAAGAGAAATCATGCAGAAATAAGGATAATAATACTTTTTATAGGATAATGTTTATGTGCTTAGGCACAATTTGTTGTTGGAAATAGTAATGTACCCGATGCATTTATCAAGACTGATTTACAGAAAAAAGTAACCCTGTAGTTTTTCTTTACTGAAAGGTACATAAATGGCTCATGACTCCGTCTTGATTATTAATTGACTAATTTGATTATTAATACATAAAAGAGACAAAGGAGACTAAGGCGAGAGCTCCCGAATCTTTAGTGTAGGAGAAAAATCAGAGCACGGTGTGTGATGTTACTGAGATCTTGTTTGAAACACTGGAAGAGACAAATATGAGACCACCAGAATATTTAGTTTTGGAAAAAAAATATTTGAAAGAGCACAGTGTGTGATGTTGTTGAGGTCTTTTTTAACTAAGCTCATTGCCATAGCAGTGTAATGTCTGATCAAGCTTTAGTCCTCCAGAGGGAGCCCTCATCTGAATACTGAACTATTACTTCCTGACACATCAGTTTCTGTCTTGTCATTTCCTGTCACCATGTGTTTAAGCCATGTGTTTGCACTGCCATGTTGTGAAGTATTGTAGTGAAACAACCCCTTTTGAAGCTTCAATTGAACCAATCAATTGAACCAATTGCTTTGCAAAATGATTCACTGTTTCAAAGAGCTTGAAACTCAACACGCGGGTCAAAACTGTGTAAACGTAACAAAAACTCAGGCACAAATTTTTTTTTATAAAACAACAAACCCATTATAAATGTTTTATTGAATGTGTAATACATTATATGTAATTAAAACAATCAAATGCCATAAATAACATGACTGTGGCAGTTTGATACACACTCTGAACCATAGGTTTGAAACTAATTATTTGCAAAGATTTCGATGCTTCACAAAGCAGTGCTTCAAAAGCGCCCATCACTAAAGTATTGCCAATTCCACTGATTAAATAATCGGTTTTCCATGCCATTGTTGATGATTGCTGCTATGACCATTGTTTTTGTTCTTTTGATTAACGTCTCTGGATTACTGTTTTGGATTTGTCTGTCAATTGACTGTTTTCCTGTTTTAACCAAAGCCTGTGAGTTGTCAACACTTTGGAATAGGGAACACATATTCACAATTAACTAAGATTTTCCCTGAACAAACTCCTAAGTTGCTGCTTATGAATAGTTAGTAAGGTAGTTTTTAAATTTAGGTATTGGGTAGGATTAGGGATGTAGAATATGGTCATGCAGAATATGTGCTTTATAAGTACTAAAAATCAGCCACTATGTTAACAATAGGCATGCTAATAAGCTGCTAGTTAATTAAAGATCAATAGCTATTAAATACAGAGTTGGTAAAATAAATAGCATAGATAATTACTGGCCTATAGCCTTGGCCAGTACTTAATCCAAGGTTATTGAAAGGATTTTATTAAATAAGATGGAACATTTTGTACTGACTTCTGATAACCAGTTTGGTTTTAAACCAAAACATGGCACTGATATGTGTATTTTTGCTCTAAAGGAGCATTTCGTTTTTTATAGTAATGTTTATGTGTTTTATTGATGCTTCTAAAGCCGTTGATCATGTTAATGATGAAACAATTATTTTTTAAGTTATACAATAGAGGAGTTCCCACATTTTTAGTGAGAATTTTGGCTTTTTGGTATGCTCATCAATTAATGTATGTAAAACGGGGTACGTGTGTGTCTGCTCCATTCAGTGTATGTAATGGAGTCAGACAGGGAAGCATTTTGTCTCCCTTTTTATTTAATGTTTATATGGATGATTTATCAAAGCTGTTGAATGGTTGTAGAACAGGTTGTATGGCTGGTCATACCATTATAAACCATTTGATGTATGCAGATGATTTGGTGATCTTTTGTCCATATAGTGCTGGTCTTCAACAGTTACTGAGGATTTGTTCTCGATATGGTTCAGATTTTGATATTAAATATGATACCAAAAAGAGTAATGTTATGATTGTTAGGAGTAGGGAGGACAGGAAACTGATAGTTTCTTTATAATTAAAGAGGATGACTCAACCTAACCACTCGCTTATTTTTCCCTTTTTCTATTTCTTGCTTTTATATTGAGCTTACCTTCACTTCAGTTGAAAGCTCAAATGAGTATTTCCTTTCGATGTTTTGCAACTCCCCAATGATCTTCGGTTTTTTCTCTGTGGTATATTCTGTGGTATTGAAATAGCATTTTAGATATTCAATCAAATACATATTTTACTTCAACTTAACAACAAGAAAACTCAAGTCTACATAAGTAGCAAACAATTACACATATGCAACAACTCAAAGCACAGCTGGATTAGGTGATTGATATGTTCAGCTTCAAACTGCACAGTCCACTGAATATGGGAACATTAAGGATTACAGTATGTGTTATGTATTGAAGCTACTACATCATTTGTGAAGGTTTATTTTAGCACAAATTCAAGATTCCTAAATGTGATATTTTTGTCATGCAAATTGTTTGACATTTTGTTTGAAATAGCTATTTAGAATGAATAGATAAATATAATTTAACAGACTCTAGGGGAGAGGCTTTACTACACTGAAGAAACGGCTTTCGTGAGGCAACAGCTTGAAAAATTATTAATTTAATGAATTGACAGCTTGTCAGCTAATCTTTAACATTTTTGTTTTAAAATATTAATTTTGCTGATTCATAATAGACAGCCAACAGCACATATAGCAAAATCATCAGTGTTAAATTAACCTACCAGAAACTACAGTACTGTGAAAAATTTAGGCACTTCTGAAATAATGCTGTAAAGTGAGAAATTAATGTTTAAGTGAGTTAATTTTATTTGTCAAATAACTTTTATTAACTGGATAAAATTGCTTTATGGATTGCACCATGCTGTTGTCAGACAAACATCTCACTATTATTTCAATTAATGTCAAAATTAATGTTTGGAAATAAACAATATTTTCTAAACTGACATACTACAAAATATATAATCATATTATAACCAGTTGTTTGAATCATATAATGTGCCTTAGACATTGTGTACAGTACTGTGTATAATCTTGTGGTTCATCTTAAAACAAGCACAAGATCCATATATTGCAAAGTGAGAGGAAATTGTTTGAATAAATAATATTAGGGATGACATCACAAAAACACAATTGCATTACAACTTTTCAATTTATTTTCATGAATCAAAGTCAAATAGAATAGCATATGTTCCTGAGCTGGAAAGATCAAATAGTGAGTCAAATATAACTGCTGAAAAGCTGGCAAAAGGTAAATTCTCTTTCTTTCCTTACCTTCACTTTTTGCATATAGTGATTTTATATTTTCAACAGTTTTATTGAAAGTTCCATCCAGCGTTGTGTCACAAGAGCCAGACATCTTTCTTTATTTTTCTGTTGTCTTCTTTTTTGTGTACTAGTGTGCTATAATGGTGCTGTAGCAAACTAGTATGATGCCAGTCAGGATGTGTTGATCTGCTTCCAGCTTTTATAGATCCAGAGACTGTGAAGGGTGTGTCACAAATACTGATGAGCGTCATCTCTGACAGAAGTCAAGGTGAGATACATCTATTTCAAACAATGAACCTCATATGAAGTCACAGAAACACTGTTTTGCCAAGCAAATATATGTGGATGAAAGCCCCAGTAAAATATTACTGATGATCCTTATGTGTCAGTCGGATTGATGTATACCAACCTGAAAATCCTTTTCTCTGACAATACTTCAGAAATCAAGTCATGCTTTTTTTTTTTTAATCCGCTGTTTAGAATCAGAGCTAGTTCTGCCAGATATGCAAATAAATCACTCTTTTTAACTAATTGGTCAGATGGGTTTACAAAAAGGTCTGAAAGTGTTCCCAATTTAGTTGGATTTAGTGAGTAGAGTGAATTTAGTGAGTGGAGTGAATTAGTGAGTGGAGTGAATTAGTGAGTGGAGTTTAGTGAGTGGAGTGAATTAGTGAGTGGAGTGAATTTAGTGAGTGGAGTGAATTTAGTGAGTGGAGTGAATTAGTGAGTGAGTGGAGTGAATTTAGTGAGTGGAGTGAATTAGTGAGTGAAGTGAATTTAATGAGTGGAGTGAATTAGTGAGTGGAGTTCACTCACACACTGGATTGTTTGCAGCAGTTTCTCACAACGCAATAGTAAAGGGGGCATTTTATAAGAACGGAACAAAAAGAGTGATGGATGAGGTGGTGATTTACCTATAATTCAAAAACTTGTCTTCTATCGTCTGTCAACGACGGAGCAGCTATTTATTGCTCGTGCAGTTATGAACGACTCTGTGACGAAGTTAAAGACCATAAGCAGAGCTTGTTTAAGGCTGGGGAAGGTTAGTTTTGCCCTGGCCTCGGGTCAGAAATTAACGGGGGTTTGGGACAAAAATGCCCCTGCACAATGATATATTACGGCTCTTGAGAATAAAATGAAAATTAATTGAAACCTGTTGATTGACTCTGTGAGCTATTCAGTCTTTGTGTTTAGTTGTCTTTTCTTCTGGACTTTTAGCAACCAACACCCTCATCAAATATTCACCCGAGGATGATTAAACACACAAGGCTTGGTTTCTTGTTCACAAGGGTTATGAAAAACATCGAGTGTTTTAATGCAGTGAATCCAGTGGTTCTGGTTCTTCTGTTTAATGCAGGAACAGATGAGCTGTTTCTATTTCCATTCATACACACTTTCACTTTCACTTCTAATTTTCAGTAAATAACATTTGATCTTACGACGGCGTTTTAGTGCCATGTAAAAAAAAAATTTAAATATAAGATTACGAGATTGAAGTCGTAATATTTCGAGAATAAAGTAGATATTACGAAAATAAATTCGAAATTAAAGTTATAATGTTTTGAGAGTACGGCCTTTAATGCGCATGCAAATGTCCCAGATTGAGAGCACGGAATAAGGCTACCGGAATTGATTTGAATATTGTTGTGTCCGAGCGGCCGTATCATCTTACTGGGATGAGGAAGAGTCGATTTTAAGCAGCTTAATATCAAGAATATGATAATTATTTTCTTAACATCGGCTCACACACCCAATCGACATTCCTTTGGGGGGCGCTGTAGCTCTCTTATTTAAACTCTCCTTTTTTAATACACTACAAATATATGTGGGATTATTACCAGAAATCATACCATAGGTCATACTCGCGGGGACAGTATGCTTGGAAATAATATTGCATGTCTTCCATTGCATTCGTTATTTGTAGTGCAAACTTTTATTCTTCACATGTAGCCTATTAACATAAGTTATATTGTTTTCTTTTCTGAGCTAGCCTGTAGGCTATAACATGTAAGTGAATATTCACAAGCTGTTTTATTCATGGTATAATACATTAAATGATTGGACATAATATGTAACGTCTTCCATTCATTATTTGTAGCACCCCAGCCACCCAGTAATCGCAATAATGTTGTGCTTGTTGCTTTTAATATAACACAGCTCAGCTTTCTAATTATGTCCTCTTTATTTCAAGTTTATAGCGAGATATAAAACTGAAAGAACATCAGAAGGCATGAAAAAACAGTATAGCTTAATTTATAATGAAAATAATGTCTCATTAATGTAATCGGAAAGACCCACATGCCGCTTAAACTGAAGTGAATACAGCGATCTGTCACGCCACAATAAAGAGCGTGAATAAAAACACATCATTGTAATATATTGCTTGTATTTCGCTATAAAACTGACAGATTCTGAAAGCTGAGACTTTGGCATTTCTCCCGGTGCTCCAAATCCGGGCCAAAGGCATGTGCAAAAGGCCAGAATATACTCTCAAAATATTATACATGTAATCTTTATTCTCGAAACATTTCGACTTTATTCTCGTAATTTCGACTTTAAAAAAAATGTACGTGGCACTAAAACGCCGTTGTATGATCTAGACATTTATTTAGATAAATATATATATATATTTGTTTTTTGTTTTGTTTTGTTTTTTGGTTAAGAAAAAAAACTGTATTGTGCAAAAGATAAAAGTGAAGTTTCTAATGTGTCTTTTGTACAGTACTGTTGTTTTATATGAATCTGTATTAACTGGAGCTTCTGTAACCTCATACTGCAGCATTATTTTCCTTTTTGTTGAATCACTGGTGTTTGCTTTTGTCCTCATTTGTAAGTCACTTTGGCTAAACATTGAATGAATGTAAATATACTCGTAAATGCCTCGTTTAACCTCCATAAATTGAGTAAGGTGTGAGGAGTAGAAATGTTTTCTATATGTTTTAGATGAGTCATGAAAATGCAGGTTGTGTGCTAATTGATAATGGAATAAGATTCACAGACCTTATAAAGCGAATTGGATGGCATCCCAATAACTTTATGCAACGTTAAATAAGCAAAGTATGCAGTAGTTTATATTTCAAGTTTATATTTATTTCTTTCTTTTCACAAGTAGATGTTTCAGTAGACTATTCTGTTCTATTCTGTTTCTCATATAGTAAACTGTTCTTGTGTGTGTGTGTGTGTTTTTTAGATAAGTGTTTACAGGAACAATGAAAAACATTCAGTGTTTTAATACAAGTGAATCCAGTGGATCCAGTTCTCTCTCTCTCTCTCTCTCTCTCTCTCTCTCTCACACACACACACCCACACAAAAGCACACAGATCAATCATTTCACACCTTGATTTAAATGCAGCTGTCATTCCCAAACATGTAATCACTGTCTCATTATTGACTGTTGGAAAGATCAAATATAATAGATATTTTAGGCCCTATTATTTCGTGAAGCATATCTACATAGTGACAGGAATTCAGAGTATAATCTGCATTTGCTTTGCACATGAATAAGTCATTTACATGGGAAACAAAAGAGCTTTGTTTAAAAATGTTCAAAATTACAAATGTCCCTCATTTGTACGCTTTACATAAAAGCATCTGCTAAATGAATAAATGTAAAATGCTACTTTAAATACATGTTTGAGCATCATTGATGTTTATGTTGTGTCCTAAATAATTGAGTGAGTAATGTATTTCATTCTTAACACAAGTAGCACTAAAATGTTTATTTTATTTGTGTATTTAACTGCATTTTATACTCAATTATAATATTTTACAGGTCATTCATTTTTATGTATATGTTAAAGATGTGGATTCATTATAATTTACACACACAGTAAACAATCCTTCATGAAAAAAAATGATGCAAAATAGTTGTTAAATAGTTCTTTATTTGTTAATACAAATAAATAAAGTTCTTATTATTAGATATGTTAGAACAATAGGTTTGTAAGGTCTCTCACTACATGCAGTGATGTCTGAATCTAATTGTTTTGGATCACTGACCCCCTTTACTAGTCACCTTAATATTATTTTATTATGTTATAATCACTGAACCATGAATCAATCTTCCCAATTTCAACAGGGTTAGTCCCTGTAGTTTAGTCATTAAACCTCTAATGTACAGCAGAAGGAAATCTGTATCACAACAACTACAGACACAGTACTGATTGTGACTGAAATAGCACATATTATAAACCATATGCACATTAATGGAGTTCAAAATTGGAGGCACACCAGATCTGAAAGCACTTCTCAGCCTCCTCCACCTTCTTCATCTCCTCCTCTTTATTCCCATCAGTTCTTTTGTAGTAAACTCTGACCAGCCCTTCATTAAACCTCTTTGGCAGGAAACTGGACAGCTGACAGCAGAAGACCGATCACACACAATTAGTTTTTTAAAACTTGCTAATGTAGTAAACAAGCAAACACTCTAAACATCATGGAGCCCTGCACTGAAAAAAAAAACAATCTATCTATCTATAGTTATAATTTCAAGCGCCTGTCCATTTTGTTTACCAAAAGTACAGAATGAATGGCACCTATTTTATAATGGAAATACTTATACTTCTTATCTGGAAAATTCTGCAGTGATCTGAAATATAATTGGTTTAAGTGTGACGGTACCTGATAATCCTTAATGGCAGACGCTTCATTGGGTTTCCTCTTGCTGTAGAAATAGACTTTTTCAATGGGGTTTTGTTCCTTCATGCCGTGATCCAGATCAACCACCTGAGTAAAAGGAGATTAAATGTTTTTTTTTTAAGATATGAAGGCAGAGATTAAGTTTTTGGTATATACATACAGTATAACTTACATAAACTGGTAAATCGTCAGCGTTCAGAGAAACAGTGGGGTCTGTAGGTTTGTACTTCTGTACTGCAGCTTTCCATGTTTTCTTCAGCTCTTCCTGATTCGAGAGAGTCAGTCAGTTACTGGATTGTGTAATAAATACTGCCTTAAAGTCACATGTCCTTTGAATATTGCTAAAATCACTCGAACAGTCAAACAATGTTTTACATTTTCTGTCAAACCTTTGAGATGTTTTTCTCAGTCAGTCGAGCTTCTCCAACAAACTTTGGCAGTTTTCTTCTGACGATCTTGTTCAAGATGTCTCGAGATTCCTTCAGGTTATCAGACGTGGAGGACGAGATCTGCTC